ATAATGGAAGTCTAAAATTTCACCTTTCTTCCAAACGTCTACACCATTATGTAAATGATCTTCAATGCTGGGGTCACTGCTCAGTCTTCCACAGACCACCTTTGTCTCCGTTTCTGAACCGCATGAAACCCGACAGGAACTACAAGCTTTCCTTCCCTCTTTTTTACACTCCTTGTCACTTTGGGTTTTCACCTCTCTTTTCCTCTCCACAGACCATCTCTGTCAAAGAAAGAAGCAGTTCACTGACAACAATCCAAACCTATAATCTTCTAGAAAACCTATCATTCCTACTAAAGCTATATCCTCAGTCCTTTGCAATATGTTGCTGCCATTCATAAGTGCAATATGTCGCCGGATATTGCGGATCTGACTTCCTGTTGACCCTGGTCATGTGACCGTAAGCAGGAAGTTAGTTGTGCTGATGAAAATGCCAGATTGGTTTGGCTCCTTTCAGGTCTTCATAGACTTTATGCTGCTGCTATTGTTCCTCTTGGTCATGATGGTTTGATTGAACACCGTCCACTAAACACAGTATAATTACAGGATCCGCTCTGGTCAGTCGTGGCACAGATTCACTCATGCAGTGAGTTTACATAGGAGCAATGCTATTGTTTATTTTTGTGAATATAAAGGACACTTTGTGCTTTGGCTTGGATTGAAGTTAAGCGGATGTAATTTCAACTGCAGTCATTTTCCAGGTGGAAGTGGGATGAGATCTACCTCCTGTTTGCTCTATGGTTTATTTTTTTGTGTTTTGCAATTGAAACATCTCCATCTCTGTGCATATATCTGATATGACAAAACTGTGTGCGTCACTCTTGACCAGAGGATCATATAAAACATGGATATATGTGTTGTTAGGTGATTGATAAGGTGCTTAATAAATAGCACAAGTAGTTGTTAGTTGATGCTAAAGTGGTATTGCCTCATTTTTGGGGCATAATTTATGATAATATGCACAAATAACATAATATACACCAATATTGGCTAAAAAAGAAAAGTCAATGCTAATTTGAACTATTGTGATGCTATATGGCACTGAATAAAGTACAAGTTGGACTGTATTTATAATTTCTGATTTCTCTTGATTTTCTGCAAAGGATAGATTTTTTTGTCAAAAGAGGTATTATTGTTTATTAAAATGCAATTTCACCAGCAAAATATAACATTGCAATTAGAACCATAAAATTGTGAAATATTATTGCAATTCAAAATAAGTGTTTTCTATTTGAATATATTTTAAAATATAATTTATTCCTGTGATGGCAAAACTGAATTTCCAGCAGCAGCTACTCAGTCTTCAGTATCACGTGATCCTTCAGAAATTGGTGCTCAAGAAGCATTTCTTATTATTATCAATGTTGTAAACTGTTTTTGTTACTTAATATTTTTTGTGGAAACAGTGATGCATTTTTTTCTGGATGTTTTGATAAAAAATACAGCACAGTACAGAACAGTACTTTAACAGAACAGTCTTTTCTGATCAAGCATCACTGCTTAATAAATATATTAATTTATTTAAAAAATAATAATATCTTACAGACCCCAAATATTTAAAAGGTTGTAGTAGTGTAACAATCAGCCCCACTTCCTGTGGGCTCTCTTGAAATGCTACAATATTTTGACATGTATTTTACTATTTAAATAGTCATTCACTGACTTTAAGTAATCCCCTGATCATTTGTAACAATCAGCCCCACTTCCTGTGTGCTCTCTTGAAATGCTACAATATTTTGACATGTATTTTACCATTTAAATAGTCATTCACTGACTTTAAGTAATCCCCTGATCATTTCCCCTCATTAATGGTCTGTAGAGCATCTGTAGAGCATATCCGTACAGACTTCAGCACATCTGAACACACAAGTGAAGTGTTGTACTGTCCTGTAAGCGCTGGTGGTTTCCCGTCTCTTGTGGTCTGGTGCTCAGATCCAGCAGCATATGGACTGTGGAAGAAATCTGGCCTATCAAAGACTTTGTGATAAAGATCTCTGGAAGCTTCAGCTAGTAAACAGCACCGTAAAAGTGGCTTTTGGGGTGGAGCGCAAGAGAGAAACTTGAAGAGGTGCCCATCACCAATGAACCCGCAACTTCTACAACAGCACTCCCCCTCCTGTCTCACTCACTATTTACTGTTCACTGTTTGGCCTTCCCTTTCATTCCCGTTGCACACCAATTTTCAGTCCTATCATTACCGATTTAGAGGTGGGAATCCTTTCTGTAATATAGCGTGTGGAAAAGTGCCAGTCTTTGTGAGGAAGACATCCATGATGCCTGAACTAGGCGCAACAGCACTTACATAATGCCATGAAGAAACCTCAAGGCCTCTGTCTTTGGTATTGAGCTCTTCGCAGTCCTGCCAGGACATTGAGCGGTTTCAGACTGACAGAAATATACTGGGAGCTTCATGAAGCCAGACTCAATCACGCCCCCTAGTGCTTGCCTGTAAAACACAAACACTTTTAGATTGCAGTTCTAATCAGGTGAAAAATGTGCATGGGATTTATTCATTTGCATATGGACTGGAGTAGCAACCTACACTGAACTAACAAAAAGCTACAAGAACCGCTCACATTTTCTTCAGAAAATGTTCAAATCTAGCTGGATTTGTTTTGACATACCGCTTTGAATTAAATTCTTTATCTAATTTGATTTTGTGGACTTAAAAGTAGATTTTTTTTTTCTGTTCATCTGCTCAGTTTTAATTCTCTCCCTCAAAATCTAATTCTGAAATGTTACGCAAATTAAACACAGAGCGAAAAATACTGGGCAGAAATTATAGCATTTGTGGAGTTTTATAGAAATCTCAGGAAGATTTGATATTTGAGGCCATCTTGCCATAATTAGAGGCTGTTATTGCATCCGCCCGCAAATAATACAGAGAACACTTTATTAATTCCTGTCTTTTTCCACTCATATTTTCTCATTTAAAGAAGCAATTCAACCCTTTCATCATCATACACATGGGTTACATGCAGCATCATGTTATGGTTTGGTGACTATGATGGGGATTGAGATTTTGTTGCATTAAATTAGATTTTTTAAAAATGAGAAGAAACTTCTACCTTTGGTCAAACTCCGAACTTTTTCTAGACGACTTCAAATGGAGATTTGAGTTGTTATGGATTGTTTAATAACATGGACACAAAAATCCCCATTATCATATTTCTTTCCATTATGCATTATTTATATTCCAATAAGCGTAACTTGTAAGGATGAAGGATGTACAATATAAAATATGAAAGTTAACTATGAGACATAAGTATTTATTTCTTGTCTGATATTAAATTACTAAAATACCCAATTCAACATCTTGGTACTAAGCTTTCATCCTTACCAAAAAAAAAATGCTGTGCGTGAACATTTTAGTTACCTTCAGCTATTAGGCCCCTTTAGAGATCATTGCTGTTTCAGTCTCTGTCAATATCCAGAAGTCATACCTTCTGCATCTGCACTGAAAGACAAAAAATACATTCATATTTAAGACTTAAGAGGAGCAGAGGCACTTTATAAATAGTATGTAAAACTCTTCATGTGAAAGTCACTATCCAATGGATAGTCATCTAACAGCTTTTCATGCTCAGCGAAGACCAAGTCTTTCAGATCTAAAATCAGTCTAATATGTGCCAGGAACAAACAAAACTCAGCCTGTCAAATTTGCATTATTTCTACAAATTTATGGAGAAGAATCATGCTCTTTTTTGTAACTTATTCCATTTGTATCAACAGTCCTGGCCTGATGTACGTCCCTTACATCTGGGTTATCTCTGTTCAATGGTACAAGCAATTTCCTTGTTCAGTACTTCCACTGGAATCAATGACATGTTTGTTACTTCACATAATGCCTTATTCAAGCTGGATGAATGAAAATGAAAAGCAATACTGAGCTGGTGGCTTTTTTTTTTTTTACTGTTTTGCCTTAAATCTTATTGAGTGTTCACAAATTCAAGAAACACTATAGACTTGGCAATGCGTATACTATATATATATTCAACAAGGATGCATTAAATTGATTAAAAGTGACAGAAAAGACATTTATACTCTTACAAAAGATTTCTACAAATGTATCAAGGTTTCAATATGAAGCAGCAGAACTATTTTCAACATTAATAATAACAAAAATGTTTCTTGAGCAGCAAATCAGCATATTAGTATGATTTCTGAAGGATCATGTGACACTGAAGACTGGAGTAATGATGCTGAAAATTCACACTCTAAAAAATGATGGGTTTTTTTCAACCCAACTTTGGGTCAAATATGGACTAACCCAGCTGTTAGGTTAAATTTTTAAATTAAAATTTGAACCCGAAAGTTGGGTTAGTCCATATTTGACCCAAATTTGGGTTGAAGCAACCCAGCATTTTTTAGAGTGCAGCTTTGCCATCACACATATATTATATAAATAATATAGAAAACAGTTATTTTGAATTGCAATAATATTTCACAATATTACTGTTTTTACTGTATTTTTGATCAAATAAATACAGTCTTGGTGAGTCTTGATGACCCAAAACCCAAATTGACATATATTTACTTAAAGTTCATTTGGAATGTTTTTTATTCAAAACTAATCCTTTTTTCCACTATTAGCACAATAAAAACAAGGATTTTGAGTATTCTGTTGTGAACTATTGCACCAGTCCTATCCTCTCATGTGCAAATTACAATGACATCTCCTGTCATCACAGCATGCACAGCGGATGCTCTTGATTAAAAGCATATGATTAGTTCCCTTTCATGGGAACTTCGAACTGCGTCCTCTAGGGGTCACTATGGGGAACGCCTCGTCGTGACCCGTGTCTGAAGCATACATTGAAAAAACACCAACTCGTTGGCCGGCGACAGCCATGACGTCACTACCGGTGTGACTATAGTATAAATAGGCGCCGGGAGCTACACATCATTCTCTTCTTCCCACAACTTAGTGTTTGATGAGCATGTGTGTGTTTGCAGAGAGTTCACTCTGGACCTGAGCATCTGTAACGATCGCACAGGAGTGGTTGGTGATGGAGAAGATGGTTACCCACAATACTCTGCAGTGGCTCAGGTGGAGATGTCTACACTGTGTCCCTGCCTGGATCAAGACAATGCTTGATGTTAATCAATAAACACAAACATTAGCGAGGCAGAAGGTACGTTTTTTCAATGTACTTTTCTAAACAACTTGAATTACAGTTTTTGCATTGTAGACCTTAAAATGGGATGAAACAAATCCCAGACTTACATTAAAGGATGGACCAGAGACATATCTAAAGACCAGAGTGAGTTTGCAATGCATTCAGTCAGAGAAAACATCCACTACAGCCGATTAATCATTACTCACATCTAAGGGATTGCTAGAAATATACACAAAGTGACTGACTGGGTGGAAATTAGTGCAATAGTCAATACAAACAGGCTTCAATGACAGGAAATGGTTGTTTAAAAACTAATAGGAAGTTACTTTGATCAATCAGATGTAATCAAACGTGGTATCAATCAGGAATATGTCCAAATATAAAAGTAAAATTCACTGTGAACATTTTACACTGACTTTTAAAGACCCTGAAAAGTCTTCATGATAACTTGAAAGTCAAAACAAAACAGGCAACTACTGTCTTAATAATTATGCTAAGTAACTCTACTTTTTGTCAATTTGTTCATTCACTAAAGGCAAAATGCCACATTCAGTCGATAAATCTGCAACTGCAGATCTCTTGTTCTGTTAATTTTAGTAACATTTAGCAACAATACATTTATCGTTTTGGCATATATATAGCTTTATATGACAGTTAATATGTGAAATGAACTCTACTATCTTTACTTCTGAAGCGGCAATCATCCTATCAAGCAAATATTTATAGTTTTAAAGGATTGTAGACCTTGACACCTAAACACACTTGACACACAAACCTCAAGAACGGTGAAAATCAACAAATGTAAAAGGATGTACGGTCAAATGTAATGGTCTGTAAGAATCCACCCGCCAGCCCAAAACGGCGGAATCCAGCGGCCTGGTCGAAGGTTTAATGCGTATTCGGTCTTTTACTTGCGCTTTGAATTTATCAGGAATTAGTTTACATTTTAGTCTAGCTCCGTTTTCAATCTGACTCCAATTTTAAGTGATCACTAAATTTAGGCAATGTTTCTAATTAAAAACTGATCATAAATATCGATTGTTTATTAATTTAGATATTTGAGTATTCTGGAAATCCCATACTTTCAATTATTCATTCATTAAGGACCTAACATCGCTTAGAAATTCACTCGGCCAACTGTGAACTCACGAACACAAACTCGCCAGTTCTGAACTTACTCAGAGGATACAGGGTGATTATAATACCTTTAAGTGCCGCACCCTGCTAGCAAATAACAAAAAGTGTATTTTTCCTATAATCACGAAAACTGTAACTTGTTAAGCCAGGTGACAGACAGAAATCATAAGATCCCTAATGGAGAGCCCCCTGCCCCGCTCATTGGTACTTAAGTATGATCTGTCCTGGATGCAGATTTGCGGAAATGTTAGACTACACAATAATCTACTTGGAAAATGATTTCAGAAGAGATCCGAATAAATCAAATATAATAATTAAAATTGGTTAAAAAAACAGGTAAAATTGCATCATGCCAATTACATAATCACACACGAGCGCGAGAGAGAGAGAGAGAGAGAGAGCGAGAGCTAAAGAGAGAGAGAGAGCGCGCGAGAGCTAGAGAGAGAGAGAGAGAGAGAGAGAGGGGGTCACATCACAAACACATACCAGCTTCCTCACTGTGTCTGTCACGCGACTCTGTTCCCCTTTCGGTGGTTTACACCTCAATGGGAACAGAAGGTAATTTACATGGAAAACCCTGGGAAAGGGCACTCCCATTACAGTAAGCAAAATATTTCTTAACTCTTAAGATCTGTATTATCTTTAAGTCTACTTTTGTAAAATTGAAACCAATTTACCAATCGCACAAAGACCTTTAAAATGATACCAAACATGAAGGGGAAAAACAACAGGTTCACAAGATACATGATATGTGGGATATGCATATTCTTAATGAACTTTGAGTGAAACCTTTTGGGGGAAAAGAGGGAGAGGCAGAGAGGGCAGGGGGAGAAGGGGGTCGTAAATGAGCGAGGAGAGAGATGTTGTTTGCTCTCTTTGAAGATTTCTTCTCCAGATAAGTTTTATTGTTTTATTGCATGGCGTCTGTTTTGTGTGAGTTCCTGAGTATTGGGTTCATGAAGAGTTAATTTCATAAGGAAATAATTTCACTCCTTTCAGGTCTGACATTAATTCTCTTAGCCAGCGTTGCAATATTTGCCAATACCTCACAACATATTCTGATACAATTATGATTTGATTAGATTCAGGGGCCTGTGATTGATACATCAATATTACAATATTATGGGCCTATTTTACACAACCACTTATTACATAAGTTACATTTTTATTAACTCACAAATGCAACCAAATATAAATTGAACTCTCTGAAAATTGCAAATCCTGACATTCACAACAAAAAAAATTAACTTTAGTTTTTTTGTAAATATAGAAAAATAAACCAATGAAAAAGCAATGACAAGAGTCAAGGAAGTCTAAAAAACTAGTATCCACATACACAACAAAAATGGGGGGAAAAACATTTAGTTCACATATCTTTGTTTATGTGACTCAAAAGGTCCAATAAACTGGAAAATATGTTGATATTTTACAGTGAAAGGCATACACTCCTCTGTCTTATTTTATGAAAGGCTCTCTTCATTTTACATCGTAAGACCTGGTGTGACCTAAAAAGACCTATAAAAAACACTGTATTTTCACATCTCTTTTATCTTTAATGTTTGTGGTCACTCTGATACAAATCTCAGAAAACATTTACATATCGCCATTTTTTCATTCTTGCCACAGCTTAAAAGAAAAAAGTAATAAGTCGAAAACTTGTCCACATCCCTGTTTAGACTGTCGCCTGTTTCTGTGAGGGGAAAAAATGAAGTAAGAAATTTAGGCCGAAAATATCTTTCTATATATAATAGGTTTCTGAAGCTACTTAGTGTCTGAACCCCAACACACACAGACAGAGCTGCATCAGAGAGACTCAAATATTAACAGTTTCTGTGTGTGTGTGTGTGTGTGTGTGTGTGTGTGTCTCAACCCTACCAATTTAGAATCTGGTTATCTGTGTCCGTGTTGTGTGAGTGTGTCAGTTTGTGTCTCACGTCCAGGCGGTGTGGACCACCCATACAGAGAATCTGAGTGGGCCACTATTCACTGCTAAAGGCCAGTCTCACCACAGTGGCGCCCCCAAAACCAGTCCTGACACACGGCTCACTATATTTGTGTGTGTGTGTCTACACTGAGGCCTGAAAAATAACCATTCGTGTCTTCCATTTTTAGAAAACAGAGAGTTTTTTCTCGGTCTTAGCTCTAAATCAAACCGTTTATGTTACACAAAGTGATTTTCAATGAAAAATAATCACTTCAGTTTTATCCTTCTAGATTTAGTCACGCATAGACAGACTTTTGGTTATCGGCTTAAAGTTTGGTCCAGCTTATCCTGGCCAAAAACCAGCCACTTAGACAGTAACCTATGTGGAAATGTCATATGACATATATTGCTCTATCTCAGGAGTAATATTGCCATAAATTCCCATAGTAAAATTTGTATATGTTCATATGTTAATAATATCTATATGATGTTTTATATATATATGGTATTCTATGTAGCAACCATATATGTCGACATGTATTTCATTTATATATGCGACTTTATTAAAACAACATATTTACAAAAAATCTGTATGCTTATATGTTTTTGTAATGCATTTTTAAATACACGTCTATCTTTTATATTTACTTGTATCAATGGGTTTTAGGATGGATATACATGTACATAACACTTAAGTCCAAAAACATATTCCACATACATAAACATATATATTTGCATGGGCCAGATATACAGTATTTGTTAATATATGAAATTGTTCCAAATTATAATAGGTCTTATTTTTTCACTTCAAATATATTTAATGTATGGAAATTTTACACACACACACACACACACACACACACACACACACACACATATATATATATTTATATACATTTGCATATAAGAAGAGATGTTCTGACTGAATGCAAAGTGAACAATCACAGTTTATATAGTTTTTACGTGACAAACTAACTTGATATAAAACACATTCAAACAAATGCACAGCAGTGTTGATCAGCTGTTCAGATGCCTAAAAAAGTGAGCAGAAATGTGTGTACAGTTGGTAATCAGCAATTATGTCAGTTCAGTGGAAATAGGTACAATTATTTAAATTACAGATTATTGCAAACCTACCTCAAACATAAATCACAACATACAATTCTGCTCATAGAATCTCTAGTTTACTTTCTGCTTAGCTCTTAAAACTATTAATATTTTTTTTAAATTTGATGCCACTAACCTGGAAAACTTGGCAAACTGGTAAATCCAGTGATGACCTTGAGTAATGTAACACTTGTGCTCTGTCACCTTCTTTAACCCCTATGAATACATCAAAACATCTATGAGACATTTGCAGTAACTTTTGCACATTAAAAATCCTTTTCAATGTTTGTGTTGTAAATTAAGTACGTTAAAAGGGTAATATGCTCTTCTTGACAAGGTCAGACACTTCAACTTCATTCATTATGACTTTATTATTTATACAGTGGTTAAAAAAAAGTTTATAGAATAATTAGAATAGGACAGAATGTTTTAAAAGTGACAAAAACCTACAAATACAACAAAACATTGTTTGTGCTGTTTGTGCTGCCGTATTCCCTCTAAATTATGTCACTTCCTGGAGGACTAAGAGGATAGAACGTGAAATTGAAAACACACACACAAACTATAAAATTATTAACATTATTAATTAACTGATGCACAGACACACTATATATCAGTAAACAGAGATGTCAGAAAAATGAAAACATCCAAATACTACAATAGAGATATATTAATAATTACTCACTTGATTAATTCCACTATTAACAATAACATTCATTTTGCACAAGACTTTCTAATAAAAAAAAAATCAACATGTATTTATAAACCAAGACCCATGAGCATGAAGGTATTCAAAACATAATGTAATCCTAAAAGACTGCATACCCTACTGTTTTAATTTACTATTGTAATTTTATTTAAGGTGGTTTGAGGCCATACGAGGGTTTTTCTTCTTTTTTTCCCATCTGTCTCAGTGTGTCAGCTACATGCACACATATACTGAAGTACACAGAGTGGTGTGTTTAATCCCGGATGTTTGTGCTTCTGTGGGTTTAAGTCCTCTGAGGAATAACACTAAGAGTAATGGGCATGCATGTGTGTTTGTGAGTGCAACTTCCTCTTTAGAGCCGGTGACAGAGCAAAATGCTCCATGATGTTCCCTAACTCGTCTAGTGCGTGTGTGTGAGCCTGCACGTGTGTTTCTGCTGACAGTGATTGGAGTCTATAGGGTCTGGCAAACGTACAGTCATTCCAGGTTCATAAAACCCCAAACCTGCAAACATGTGGGGAGAGACCCTAGAGGACCCTTACAGTGAAACAACTAGGCCTCCTTTGATCGGATGTCGACCGGGTGGTCTGACTGCTTGCGGAACGGCATCAACTGTGGCTAATAAAGCTAATGTGAGCATGTTTTGATACAACATGCTGGTGACCAGCAACTTAGGGAAGCCTTTTTCCCTTGCAATTTCTGAGAAAAAGCCAGAATTGCGAGATGTAAACTCAAGAAAAAAGTGTTTATATCTCACAATTCAAAATTTAACAATTCTTACTTTTTCCTCTGAAGTCTGAGTTTGCATCCCATGGCAAAAACAAGCTTCCATAGCAACTAGTCTAGTCGGGAATAAGTACACTAAAGTTTGGAATAATTAAGATTTTTTTTTTTAAAAAGCCTTGTATGCTCAGCATATCAGAACGATCTCTGAAAACCATGTGATGCTTTGCAACACTTTCAAAGTGAAATGTTCAGTGAGTGGCACTAAAAGTACATTCAGTTTTATGGTAACACTTTATTTTAATAGCCCACTTTAGACATGGCTAACTATGCACAATACTAACTATGCAACATCATGTCATCTACCAGTCTCTAGAGTATTGTCGCTTAATATAAGCAAACACTTTATTTTGATGGCTCCCCAACAGAGATTCTACTGACTATAAGTAACTTGTACATGTCAGCTTATTCTACTAACCCTAACCTAAGTCTGACAATACTCTACTGAGAGTTAGTTGACATGTAATTGCAAAGTTACTTAGAGTATGTTAGTACAATGTCTACAATGGACTATCAAAATAAAGTGCAACCAGATTTATCCAAAGCAGATGAACATGAATCTGGCAACATGTTATTACGTTACTGGTGTATGCATCGCAGCAGTTTGGAAATTAAATGTCTGGTGAGTGGCACTAGAAGGTTAATGCTCTATTACATTTGAAAATAACGTACCACCTACACTAAACCCTACCTTAAATCCAAGCGATAGTGTTAAGAAAAGCAAATGTGAGATCAAATGCATTTACTGAAGCAACCATGCCATTCACGCTTCTAAAAGTCTTTGAGCTTTTTCATTCTGACTCGTGTTTCACAGGACTCATACCAGAGCACATCGCATTGCAAGAGCAATACTGTATCAGGTGAGCTACCGAGCAAGTTTACAATGTCAGCTATACATATGGAGCTTATGTGATGTAAACATTGAAGTTAAAGAGTTTTGAAGTCATAACTTTGAAGGAACAGCAGGAAATTCAGTCTTTTATTAATCAATAATCTTAACCATAATTTGTGTGAAGAGGAGTAAAACTGGTTGGTGTTTTACAGCCACTAGTGTTCTTTTCAGCTAGAAACTGCAGTGCATTGTGTGAATAGGTAAGTCTTTAGAGTTTTGCAAAAACATAGGTAGAGGTGTGTTTTTCCAATGAGCCTGGGTTGCAAGAAAAGTCTTCTCTCATTCATTCAGCTCTCGCTCTCTCCTGAGGATGGTTTACTCTGTGACTGGGCCTCCACCATACAAGTGTTAAATTCAAACGGCTAATTAGAGGAGATGTGCGGATCAATGAGATGTATTGTAACTGGAATCTGAAATGAATCTGTTTTGGATCAATGTGAAGGAGTGCAGGAAAAATGGGAAGAGAGGACAATAAAGGAGAGGAACGCGTATGGGGGGTTGGGAGTTTGACCTTTTGCATGATTAAAAAAACGAGTACACATTTAGCTGCTAATAAGTGACTTGAGAAGCACCGGCTGCCACTGGTGTCCATGCTTCATGAACGCTGCCCAGACACAGTGTTAAACGTGTTTATTTTTACTGTCATGTCTGTCATGCCTCATGTCTAACACATTTAAACAGTTATATAGGAAAGCATGCTTACATTCAGATCATGTAATAACTCCCTGTTTCCTGCTTTCTACACATCCCACACCTATGAAAACGAGAAAACAACACTGTGAAAAATCCACTCAACACCTCTGAGGGTCCTCATGTGTACTGTTATAAATTCAGTCAGTCAGATTTTTTAAGATATTGCTGTTAGTGAAAACAAAGTCTCTGTCCCAAAACCTAGCTACATGCCATAGCTAAAGAGTCAGCTGCCTTCTTAGGCAGCATCCAAACTGAAATGGAATCTCATAACTGAGCGGAATTAAAAACACTCTACATAGGCAGAAACATAAAATGTTAGGTAGACAACTGATTTCAATACAGTTTGATTGCTAAGCACTGCAATACTCTAATACATGGATTCCCAAACTTTTTTGTCAGCTGCTAAAATATTTACTTGAAATAATATAGAATAATGAAATAAATAATGAGATTTTAGGTTAATATTTTAACAATTTAACAACATTTGCATGTTCACAGTTCTCCGATTTCCATTAATGACTACATTAATGGCTACATTAAATATTTTATGTTTTTGTAAGCGTTAACATTTTTTTTTAACTTTACATGATTACAAATTTAATTTTATTTACTTAATTATACATCTAGGTATTTGTAATTTTACATTTTTATTTTATTTTTTAATTGACATATTTAATTATACAATTATTATGAGTTCATTAATTATTAGTTGTTTTACTCACAAACTCCGAACCCTAGTTTGGGAAATCCTGCTTTGATAAGCATGAAAATACATAATACACAAATATAGGGTAAATTTGACAAATTTTAATTAGATTGAACTAATTTTACCTAAACGTCTTGCTATAGAATTAATTAAATTCATAATCATCATTTTATCATCCATTTAAATTGATTTTTCGTAATTCATTATGGAACTGCATTCTCTCTGAAGATTATATGTGACGCTATCTTCAGATTTGCCCAAAATAAGGTATGACAAAGAAACAACACAAAAGAAGCAGCATATTGTGGTGCTTACCTTTTGGAAAAGCCTTTTCCATGGAATGCGTCTATAATACTTTCATGCCTGTGCAGTCAGTTCACTAAATTTTGAAAGAGAGAAAATATGCTAATATTATATATTAAGTAAGAACAATTTAAAACGGCAACAAGGAAAACCTGATAGCAAGAGGGCTAATGGCTGTACCATATGCTAGTTATAAGTGTTGCTAATATATTTTTAATGATAGTGAGCAATTTCTTTCTGATTTGCTCAAAATTCCTGTGTTCATATTGTTTTGATGTCACGTATGTGCCTCATACACATGCCTGCTTCAGTGGTGTTTGTATGTGCGCTTCTCTCTTTTCTTTGTAGTTCATAAAATGAGCATATTGAACATGTTAGAAGTCGGGCCCTGTTTTCCTCTAGCTTAAAGGGTTAGTTCACCCAAAAATGAAAATTCTGTCATTAATTACTCACCCTCGTGTTGTTCGAAACCCGCAAGACCTTCGTTCATCTTCGGAACACAATTTAAGATATTTTTGATGAAATCTGAGGGCTCTCTGACCCTCCCAAAGATGACAGTATCATGACGTGAGCAGGCGCCGCCACACGCTCGCGTCATGGTACTGTCGTGAATGCGATCCACAAGTGACGCAGTAGAGATGAAAATGTGGAATAAAGTCGTTATTTTTGTTTTCTTTGCGCAAAAAAAGTATTCTTGTAGCTTCGTAACTTTACAGTTGAACCACTGATGTTACATGGACTACTTTGTCGATCATCTTGGTACTTTTCTGGACCTTGAACGTGGTAGTTACCTTGCTGTCTATGGGAGGGTCAGAGAGCCCTCAGATTTCATCAAAAATATCTTAAATTTTGTTCTGAAGATGAACGAAGGTCTTACGGGTTTCGAACAACACGAGGGTGAGTAATTAATGACAGAATTTTCATTTTTGGGTGAACTAACCCTTTAAAGACCAAAACGCATTTTTGAAATTAAGTGCTAATTACAGTGGGTATAGAAAAGAATCACCCCCTTTAAAATAATCACATTTGTTGCTTTTCAGCCTGAAATGAAGATAGACAGTTTTTGTTTTATCCAGCTGTATTTACTCAGTGCAACTTAACATCCAAATGAAAGATAATATAACACCAACATGTCAGAAAAAAAATAAATAAACAGAATCACCCCCCTTTGTGTCAGTATTTTGTTGAACCACCTTTTGCTTTAATTACAGCCTTTAGTGTGTTGGGAATTGTGATGTCTCTACTAACTATGCACATCAAACTTTGCCCACTTTTCTTTACAGAACTGCTCAAGTTCAGTTCAATTTGATGGTGACTGTTTGTCGACTGCGGTCTTCAAGTCATTCCACAGATTTTCAGTGGGGTTTAAGTCTGGGCTCTGACTAGGCCATGCAAGGACATTCCCCTTTTTCTCCTTCAACCACTGTGTGCTCGGTTTTGCTGTGTGCTGTGGGTCATTGTCATGTTGGAAGGTAAAGATTTTGATGGTGTTTTGCCCCATCCATTTTTCCAGTCCCTTCTGCAGAGAAACACCCCATAACAGGATATCACCGCCTCCATGCTTTACTGTAGCAATGCTGTTATTTGGAAGGTGAGCTGTATTAGATTTCCACCAGACATATCGTTTGGTGTTGAGGCCAAATAATTAAATTTTAGTTTCATCTACCTCAGAATCTTCAAGGTGTGTGTTGGCAAATTCAGTCTGACTGCATGTGGCCTTTCTTGAGGAGTGGCTTTTTTCTTGCACCCCTCCCATACAAGCCACATTTGTGGAGAATTTGTGATATTGTTGTCACATGCACACAATGACCACTCTTTGTCATAAATTCCTGCAGGCATTGATAATTTTTAATTTTTTTTTTTGTATCCATCTCCTGACTTGTACCTGTCCACAACTTTATCCCGGAGATCTTTTGACAGTGCTCTGTTGCCACCCATAGTTGATTGTTTGCTTCAATTGCACTACCAAAGACTGAAATGCTCCAGGAAAGCTTGTTTTATGCTGAGCTAATCAAAATGAGCACAGCTGATCACAGTTGAAAGTCAAATGGCTTTGTGTGCCATTGAGAAGGTGATTCGCTACACCTGATTGAGTTTACAAGTCATTTTTAGGATGGGGGTAATCCTTTTTCCAACTTTTCCAACTTGGTGTTGGTGTTATATCTTTTACTTGAATGTTATAAGTTGCACTGCAAATACAGCTGGATAAAACAAAAAAGGTGTCCATCTTCATTTCAAGCTACAAAGCAACAAAATGTGATTATTTTAAAGGGGGGTGATTCTCTTCTATACCCACTGTATGTGGGTCATTTCAATATGGCTCTTATTTGAATGAAGAGTTTTGGTCCTTTGGTTTTGGTTTCATGAGTGTAGTAATCTCAGCTCCACTTAACTCTACATTCAGAAAGACATTAATAATTTTATTCAGCAAGGATGCATTAAATTTATCAGTAGTGACAGTAAATGCACTTCTAATGTTACAAAACCTTTCTATTTCAAATAAGGAATGCTATTCCTTTGAACTTTCCATTCATCAAAGAACCCTGATGCATTACGGTTTCACACAAATATATTAAGTAGCAAATTGCTTTCAACATGGATAATAATAAGAAATGTTTCTTGGGCAGCAAATCAGCATATCAGAATAATTTCTGAAGGATCATGTGACACTGAAGACTGGAGTA